GCACACACACCGTACACCGTAAATCACATAAAATAAACATACATACATATTTCTTTGGTTTATAATTGTTTGTTTTTTTAGGAGATGAAGAAAAAAAAGACGAAAATGTCATCTTAGCGTTCTTGTCTGTTGCGGTGCCTCGTTTTCTAACCTGTTTGGGGGCGAAGGTAAAACAAGAAAAAGAAAAGAACAGGGAAAAAAAAAGCACTAAAATTCGTTAGTTTATACATATATACATATGTGTTTACATACGTATAGAGAGGCGAATTGACAGACAGATATATTCATGCATATATTTGATTTAAGCATGAATAAATAAATGCATATAGGATTGCATACATACCTGTAGGCACACACCACACACACACACACACACACACACAACACACACACACACACACACACACACACACACACACACACACACACACACACACACACACACACACACACACACACACACACACACACACACACACAGCCATACAACTATATCAAGCATACAAACACACATATATTTGTGTGTGTGTGTGTACGTATGTGTGTAGACATATATATATATATATATATATATATATATATATATATATATATATATATATATATGCACATTCCCATCTATGACATAACACATTGACTACTTCCTCCTCCTTGGATCCAACTTTCACTTCGCCCTCTTGACTTTTATCATCCTTGGCATTCTTCCCTTTCCCTCTTCCTTTTCCTTTCAAACCTCTTTCCTCTTCTACTTTCCCTTTCTCGTGTTATTGTTATCGTATCGATTTTTCCCTTCTTTTTCTGTTTTTCTCTTCCCCTTTTTTATTTGCGTTTGTATTATTTTTCTTCCTCTTCTGTTGATTCCACGTTCTTTTGTGTGTTGTGGTTGATTTCTCTTTTTTTCGTTCTCTCTCTCTCTCTCTCTCTCTCTCTCTCTCTCTCTCTCTCTCTCTCTCTCTCTCTCTCTCTCTCTCTCTCTCTCTCTCTCTCTCTCTCTCTCTCTCTCTCTCTCTCTCTCTCTCACACACACACACACACACACACACACACACACACACACACACACACACACACACACACACACACACACACACACACACACACACACACACACACGGCTTGCTGGTGAATCAGCTCCAGCCTGACCCTGTCTTAGCGGTTCGCTGGCACCCTCAGATGACCCAGCTTGAACCCTGTCGTTGGTCCGCTCGCCCACAGACCAAAAGGAAGAAGGGAAAGAAAATAAGAATAAGAATAAAAGAAGAAAGAAAATTATAATAATAAAAGAAGAAAAATGGAAATCATAAAGAATAATAGAAAAAAAAGAAAATAAGAATAATAAGAGAAGATAAAGAAAATAATAATAAATGAAGAAAAATGGAAATCATAAAGAATAATAGAAAAAAAAAACTTTTCCTTTATATCGTTTTAGACTATTTAATTTCCTCGAGATTGCGTAGAATTCTCCGATTTTGCGAAACGAGAGAACCGAATAGGTCGAATAAAGCGGGCGGTTTGGCTTATACGACCCCCTTAACCGAGCGACCACCTCCAGCTCTTACAGGAGACACCGTCAGGAGTGAAAGTTGACCTCACGAGCATCACCTGCTTCGCCTCCGATATTTCTCTCGGGAATGGCGTGTCCTCTTGGGCCTTCTGCGGGGGTGTCAGACGTCCTTCTGCAGGAGTGGACGGGAGTGTCAGATGTCCTTCTGCATGAGTGTCAGACGTCCTTCTGCCAGACGTCCTTCTGCGGGAGTGTCAGACGTCCTTCTGCAGGAGTGTCAGACGTCCTTCTGCAGGAGTGTCAGACGTCCTTCTGCAGGAGTGTCAGACGTCCTTCTGCAGGAGTGTCAGACGTCCTTATGCAGGGTCAGACATCCTTCTGTGGAGTGTCAGACATCCTTCTGTAGGAGTGTCAGACGTCCTTCTGTAGGAGCCGTCACACGTCCTTCTGCAGGAGCCGTCGCACGTCTTGTGAAGGAAGTCCCTTGCTCTGAGGGCACTGTGCTGTGACCTTCCCGCTGCGCTTGTCATGGCGATCACATTCACGTATCACACAGTTCCTGGCGCTTGGCATTGTATATCGCGTCCATTGGCTCTCGCTGGAATTCTCAATGGGCGTCGTGCAGGGCGGGAGCTTTGCGTCTCTTGTGAGGAGGGTTCAGGAAATGTTTAGATGATGATGATGGTAATAATAATGGTGATGATGATAATACTGGTATTTTTTAACAGCAATAATAACAATGATGATAATAATGGCGATGATGATTATGATCATGATAATAATGGATGATAATGATAATAACAACAATAAAGATAATGATAATAACAATAATGATAATAATATCAATAAGAATAACGATAATGATTTTATGATGATAACAGTAACTTCTCATCAATTCAGGGCAAAAAACAGTGACGTGGGGTAATTCCACTGGTACTCGGAATAGAGAACTAGAACACTTACTGTATAGAGAGACACTGTTAGCTCGGGTAAATGTCAGACTTCCCTGGGTTTGTGCGCTTTGGTTAGTGCGTGCGTGTACGTGTGTTCGTAAATTTCGTCGGGATGTCTTACTCTCCTTCGTTCCTCTATTTTTAATATCCTTGTCTTCACACCTCTTTTATTTTATCATTGTCTTACCACCTTCTTTGTTATATCCTTGTCTTTCCATCTCTTTTATTTTGTGCTTGTCTTTCCACCTTTTTTATTTTATCCTCGTCTTTCCACCTCTTTTATTCTATCCTCGTCTTATAACCTTCTATATTATATCCTCATCTTTCCACCTCTTTTATTATATCATCATTATTATATCATTCCTCGTCTCCGCGATGGAAAGTCCCCCCCCCCCCCATTAGTGCGTGCATTCTCCCCTGGGACATGAATATTCTCAATGACGGGAGAGCCTTCTTGGGCAAGTACCGGAGACAGCTCGTGGGTCTTCAGGTATGAGACGCCCGTGTGTTGGGGTCTGGGGAGAGAGGGGGGAGGGGAAATGGGGAGAAGGGGGAGATGGGGAGGGGAATAGGGAAAGGGGGGGAGGAGAATGGGGAAAAAGGGAGAGAGGGGGGTGGAAGGGGAATAGGGAGAGGAGAGGGGGGAAGGAGAGAGAGGAGGGGGGATAGGAGAGGGGAGAGGGAGATGGGGAGAAGCGGGAGGGGAAGGGGAACAGAGAGGAGTAAAGGGGGAAGAGGGGGGTAGAGGGGGGTGGTCGTAGGATGGAAGGTTGTTACAGTGCGATTGCAGTGCAAGTATGGTGTCTGGAGGTCGAGTGAAGGCAGAGAGAGTGTGCAATGTTTTGTATGCGTTTTGATCGCTGTCTGAACTCGTGGGAAATATGGAGATATAATTAGGTTTGTAGGATGATGCTCTATCTGTCTGTTTATCTATTTGCTTTATCTATCTAATTGGTGTTTTGGTGTTTCCCTAAAATATTAAGAACATTTCACAGATACACACAGTAGTTAATACGGACTTAATTAACATCGGTGACTTCATTTCTTCCTCGACTTTTTGTTCGTATTTCTTTCGTAAGTATATTATCTGCGCCAGATAGGTACACGAGCCTTTATCCCATTATCTCCCGCCGTGGCATGGCACACCTCACGGCGCACGCGAGCGATCCTTGAGCGGGTGACGTGTTAGCCATGCAAGGCAGCGGCCAGTCACTTTCCCTCCCTCTTGCCCTCTGCCTCCCCCTGCCCCCTGCCCCTTGCCCCTTCCCCGTTCCCTGTGCCCCCGCCGTGGCCCAGAGGCAAGGAGGGGGAGAGGAGGGCAGTCAGTCCCGCGGTGCCTCAGCGAGGAGCTGGTGGACGCGCTCGTGTTGTTAGGGTTATCACACGTCCTGGACGCCTCCGAGGAGCGAGAGGAGGCTGGAGGAGCGCTCAGGAGGGCCTTCGGTGTTGTTGGGCGGCGCTGCTGGGACCCGTATCGCGCTCGCATCTTCCTGCCTCTGCGACGGGGACGACCTTACCTGTGTTTGTGTTTCGTTGGCGTGTATCGCTGGAATGGCTTCTAAATGGAGCTTCGGTGATAGTTTACATCCGCTGTGACTGATAAGCGCCGATGGTAACGACTCGGCCAGCCTCTGCGTGCGTGTTTCATGAACTTCAGCATCCGCAAAAGTAAACCTGCATGAGAATAAAAGTGCATGGTGCTTCAGACCCCACTGGACCTCCCTCGGGAGCGGTTGTATGTAGGACTTCTCTCTCAGTGCCCGTGTGGATAAACGGAAAAGTAGATTCGGAAAAGGCTAACTAGTGAAGTGTTCCCTGAGATTCTGTCTTGAAAATAGGAGATAATAGAACAGGATATTAATAAAAAGAAAAAAAAGACAATAAAAATCAAAAGTGTTTTTGACTGAATTAAAGGCCAGCGGTGTACCGTTGGACGCCGTGTTAGGAAATATTAGATTGGGGCCAAGAAAGTGTCACACCGCGAGCGCTGCGGGTGGGTTTTGCAACACCCGCCGGACCAGTGTGCGCCCCTCGGAATACCTACCTCCAGTTGCATCTTGAGATAGACGTCATTAATTCCAGGCGCCGTCGGGGCCTTACCGCCATATCTGGGCCTCGTGAAACCGGCATTACAAGGCAGGGGTCGTTGTGGGTGGTTAGTTGGTGGCTCGGGACAGCCCTGCTCTGACGTGAGGCTGCGTGTGGACGTAGTGTTCGTTGTTCGTTCGAGAAAGGAGGAAAAGAAAGATCGCTTGCACCACACTGCTCGCGTCTTGATTCGCCTGGTGTTTATCATAGCATGCTGCATTTGGCCGCGAGTGTTCTTGATATTCAGCACAGATTGCACCCGAATGAGGAAGATGAAAACAGCATCCTTACAGAGACCGGGCAAGTTGATAAACAAATTTCGATCGAACAACAGAACACAACCGTACAGACGCAAGCCAGGGAGCTAGTCGAGGGAGACGTGGAGTGTAAAGTAGAGTGTCCGACGGGGGAAAAAGCTCCCGACGAGGAGCCACCACGGCCTTCTTCAGGTAAGACCACAATGCAGTGTGAAACGATGGACGCCAGTAGTGTAGCGAGCGCGTTGAGTGTGGATGTTCGACCCAAGGAGGAGCATGAGGAGGGCGGTCCCCATCAGGAGGAACCCCTGCGATCCCTCAGTCCGCAGAGTCAGACCTCCACCGTCGCGTCTTCCTCTTCCGGCAGTCCGACGGAGGCGCGGGAGGAGATGGTGTTCGAGGAGGATGAGAAGTGCGTGCAGGGCGGGTCGTACCTTAAGGCCTCCACCCACCACGACTCCATCATGACGGACAGCGGCATCTCCGAACACGACGCCACCGAGTCCGATACCTCGTCGGACTCCCTCGGGCATGAAGAGGAGGTGACGGCGGAACCTCAGGAGCCCTCTCTGAATGCGGAGGCATACCAGACTCAGACAGAAGCCCTTGCAGAAGGGGAAGGTATTACCGCGACGTCGGAAGAAACGGAAGACATCGACAGGCTAGACAGATCGTGGTTTGATCCGTCGTCGAACGATTTCTTCATCAACAGTGACTTAACAGATAACAGTAACTTCGTGGCGGAATTCGAGCCGCACAAAGAAATCTTCGACGAGTTGAGCAGCCCGAGAGACGAGGCGAGCAAGATCCGAGTCAAGCAGCGGGCGACGAGCAGGAATCACAAGGCACGGCAAGCAGCAAAGGGCGACATGACCTACGACCCGGCAGCGTGCGACGCCTACGCCCCTTGCAAGGTGGATGACTGCAAGAAGACGAAAGTAAAGGCAAGAAGGAATGAGGATTTTGACGATCTTCTTTTGGCGTCTGATGGCGAAATGATCGGAAGAGAAGCCTTCTACATGGAGGTCTTGTCCCCTCTCGCGGAAATCGAGAATGAGATGTCGATATTCGATTATGAATTTGAGATGAGGGACGACTCCTGGGGCACGGAGACGAACGAACCCTACTTCGACGTGCGAACCGGCCAGAGGATCCTCTCCACGATATACGAATTCGAAGTCACTTCCGACGAAGAAGACGACGATGACGACGTCCCGTTCGCGCTGTCGAATTTCCGCGTCGAAGACCACCTTCAGAACATCAAAACAAACAAAACGAGCGAAACGGGGAAGGGGGAGGCCTCTCAAATCGACGTCTTGCGAGTCAACAGTGATGCAGCAACAAATGGGAGGGACGAAAATATCCTTGATAACAAAGCTATAGAATTCAGTGATGACGTACCACTCCCTGGCCGTGAGAACAAGGAAGTGGATAAGACCCTAATAACAGACTTAACAGTAGACAGAACGTGTGTCACTACAAAAAATACTAATAAAAACGTCTCTCCTGATGAGCAAAATCACAACGGCGAAATTGATGACCAGGTATCCTGCGCTGGAAAGCACGAGGTGCGCCCAGCCACCGAGAGGTTATGCAATCTCCCGAGCGACGATCACGAGGCAGCGAAGGCCGTCAGTGCCACGCCGATGCGCGAGACGCCCGGGGAATCAGAAACAGACTCGTCTGCACACGCACGTCGGCGGGATAGCAGTGAAACTGTTAAAGCAAATGGAATGGCAGATTTTGAAGTAAATGGCATTGGTGGTCTTGCTTCCTCCCAAAACTATGCTAATCCTGAAAAGTCTAGTCATGCTGAGGACACAGATTCGAGAGACGCTAATTTAGGAAGAAAGCCAAATACGGACGAGTTTGTTAGCGGCAGTAGAGAATGTGTAAGAAAGCTAAGTAACTTTGGGCCGAACCCATTGTTAGTGTTGTCCACACCGAGTGACGAGGAGGACGGGGACGGTGTAAACTGCTTCGGACCAAACCCCGTGCTGGTATTATCTCCCGGCAGTGAGACTGCATCAGGCTCTGATGTGATGACGCAAGAGCCCCATGACCAGCCGGCGGGTGAATATTCATCAGGGAAGGACGTAAATAGCAGTATGGAGAGTCCCAGGGGTGAAGCGGGGGCATGCTACCTCCCCCCTCTGGGCGGGGAAGGGCACCCCGATGACGAAATGAGCAGAGGTGGGAATATTGGCAACGCCCCAGGCGTCGCGGGTCTTGAGGAGTCACTAGTTAGCGACGAGCGCCCAGAGGAAGGCGTAAGGGAAACGAGGGCTCCTGACAACACCCCAGTTCAGGAAGGGTATGCTGACCACTCGCCGCGGGTGAACGAGTGCGCTGACACTACCCAAGCAACCAAAAAATCGGGAGTTTTAAAAATTCGTCCGAACGACGCAGCAGGATGCAAGGAATCGGAGGACATCATAGCGGCGTGGGACAGCCACATCCTGCAGCACCTCGAGAAGGACAGTCATAGAGACGTCGACTTTGACATTTTCAAAGTTGAATCTGACGTCTTTGAGACTTCCGAAAACATTACGACAGACTTGGAAAAACAAAACCGTTTCGACGAGTCTGTTTCTCAGGCTGTGTCCAATGGTATGCCAGGTGGTGTCCAGAATAAATATGAAAACAATGACAATTCTACAACACGTGAGGGAGAATATACAGGTGTAGAATTCGTAGACACGGGAGATAAAGGTGGATTTTCGTCAGTGTCAGAAACTATGGACGAAAGAAAATCTGTGCCAGTGTTAGAGGGAGCGAAAGATGCTATCGATGAGCTAAAGAAAACTAGGAACAATAAAGATGAAGTTGATATATCGTCTGGAGAGAGACTAATGGCTGAGAATAACACCTTGGGCATCACGGGGGAGAATAAGCAAACGAAGGAAGAGAAAAGAAACCAGGAAAAGGAAGGAGATAAGGAGGAAGAAGTAGACAAACAGGGAGAGGAAATGAAGGAGGAGAAAGATGAAGGAACACAAAATGAGGGGAAAGAGTGTAGACAGGAAGAAGAAATAGTCAAAATGGAAGGGATGGAAAGGCAGGAAACAAAGGAAGAGATACTGCAGGATAGAGAGGAGAAACACGGGGATGATGGCGAAAATCAAATCAAAGAGGGAGATAAGGAAGAAAGAAAAGACAATGCACGGGATAAAATAGAAATTCAGGAAGAGAAAATAAAGGAGAATGAAAACGTGGAACAGAACGAGAATGAAAATCAGAACGTGATGAATAAGGACAGACGCAACGACGACAACAAGAACACACAAGAGGAAGATAAGAAGCCGAACGAACACGAGGAAGGTAAACAAGAGCAGGAAAAACAAGGGAGGCGTGAGGAGGCGTTAGAACACGTCCCTCAGGGCTCCGAGGGGGATAAGGAGGCCACTGAACAGGATGTTAAGAAAGTAGAAAACGATGCCAGCAATGGGCCGCCGACGTCTGAGGGATCGGAAGAAAGCAGTCCTGAGGAGAGGAATCACCAGCCTCCTTCAAGCGAGGTCGAGGTGGAGAAGCGTCTTGATGCTGACGAAGGCGCAGCAGAGGAGGTCGATTTGCCAGGGAAGGTACAGAAATTTCATGTGCTGTTGGGTAACTTAGCTAATGCCGATTTCGAGGCACTCCTCCGCGCGAGGTATTCTGATTACGACCCCAACAAGCCTCCTCCAAAGCCAAAGAGGTTGTTTTTAAGGCGCTTGTCCAGCGATCCTAATATGAAAGACAACATGGCGCAGCAGGTAGAAAATGACAAAACTTTGGCTGCCATCCAGAATAGCCAAGCCCCAAAACCCCCCATGAGAGTAAAGAGAAGAAAGCAAAGTCCTATGCAGGCTTCCCGTCCTCCGCCTTCGCAGGATAGACCAGTCCCCCCTGAAGCCTCACTCGCAAACGAAAACGACGCCCCGGAGACGAGAGAAAACGGAGATTGTGGGTCAAGTTCGTCGAGTGTTGTCGGGTATGAGGAGGAGATGGGAGGAGGGGGAGGGTCAACCTCCACCCCCTCTACCCTGGTCGATACCCTGGGTATACTCTCTGTCGCTGTGCCAGAACCACGTGAGGGAAGTAATGGCCGCCCTGAAGCGAATGTTAAGTGTTCGGGTAATGAAAGGGTCTTGGAGTCATGTGAGGCCGGCACGAGGACGATGCACGGAGAATATTTAGAAGGAGGTAAAAAGGAAGAGGGAGAGGAAGGAGAGCGAGAGAGGGAGTATGAAGGAAAGGAAGAGCGAGGAAGGAAGGAAGGTGCTACACAAAAAGAGACGGAAGAAAGTCCGCCCACGAAAGGCAAAGGAGACGAGAAATTAGAAGAGAAAATAAAATACGAAGACGAACCACCCGAGGGAGACACCAACAACGTCGTCGAGGAGTTAATGGACATCATCAGTAGTCTTGATGACGACAGAAACCCTCCCCCGAGCGTGATAAACGAGGATAACAGAGATAAGACTTCATCTGTTTCTTCTGAACTGACGCAGAACAGCCCCGACGCGCCTGATGCTGCTTGTGCAACGTCTGCAATGAACTTGAGAAACACAGAGGCGAAGGAGATGTGTGTTGAGGCGAGTAGTAGAGAGGGAGAGGTTGAGAAACAGCCGGCCGTAATGGAGGGTGAGATTGCGACACATGGAAATGAGAAAAACACGGAAGGCAAGGTCGGAATAGAGAATGAGGATGATAACGAGGGTAGAGTCAGAGTCGAGGGGAATGAAAAGAAGGAGGAGGAGGAGGAGAGGCAGGGTGCTAGTCATGAACCAATTAAGTGTGACACAACTCTACATAATCCCATTAATGAGGGACGTGACGAGGCCTCCCATGAGGCTCCCCGGCCTCCTGTGAGGAAGAAGAGAAATCCGTCCATCCGCTCGGCTCGCGAGGGGGCGCCGGCGACTCCCCCTGCGCCCCGCGACAACCAGGAAGCGACTCCGCCGCCGGTCCCGCTACGAACTTACCGGGGATACTCGTCCCTTCCCCGACCTGCCAAGAGCCAAAGCAGGTCCTCGCCCACGCCCCACGACGCCCGCGCTCCCCCCCGCACCAAGAGAGTGGCGAGATCTGCTTCTACAGCCACTTGTAGCAACAGGCCTCAGGTCACGCCCAGACTGACCGCCTCCGCCTCCGGGTCACCTCAGATGCGACCGGCGTCGGCGGACAGAGGCAGCAGCGACGCAGACTCAGTGAAAAAGGTCCACATCACTTCACTGGTGACGCCCCGACTCAGGCGCATCAAGACGTTCCTCGTGACGCCGGTCTCGCCGAATGATGCGCCGAGGAAAACGTTCCAGATCAGCCCGTGTCTATCGCAGAGCGCCCCCTCCGTCCGAGACAGCCCGGATGCACAGAAAAGCGCAGCTCAAGAAGCCCCAATAGAGCCCCAAAACACGAACCAGGACACCCCAGACAAACACCAAGATGTAAGCCAGGTCACTCCAGCCAAAATGACAGAGGTCACTTCAGAGGACACCTCAGAAGTCATCTCCGAAAACATCAGTCGCGACGTGAACTCTAGCACGCCCGAGCAGACCCGCCGCCACCTCCGTGTCAAGTTGCCGGAGGAGCCCTTGCCGAGGAGAGGGCCCGGCAGCGGCATCCAGCGCAAGAACACGCCGCACATCCGAAAGCGTTACCACACCATCGCCGACGGGACGACAGGCCAGAAACGCAAGAGGGAGAGCTCTATAAAAAGGGACGGGTCGCTCAGGGCAATCAAGTACCTCACGCTGCCCAACACCGTCCTCAAAAAGCTGAAAAACAATTCGAAGAAAGAGGAGGCGGCGCCTATTTCATGTCTGCCAAGGATCTTCGGCCGGAAGCAGAGATCTTACGACATGACGGGCTCGGTGTTCTCCCGAGCCGAGATCCCGGAGCTAACGCCGGAGAACGACCCACAGGCTGCAGAAGGCGCCAAGAACGCCTCTCGATCTCCCGAGGGCTCTGAAGAAGGCTTCTCCACCATCTTCAACTTCTTCACCGCCTTGGAGTTCGCCGACGACAAGGAGAGTCGACCGCCCATATTCACGGACGTCGAATTGCGTTGCATCACGAAGGACGGCCAGAAAAGGAGCAGTTACCCCTCGTGCGACACTCCGGAAGTGCCCAAGAGGAAGCGCAAGAAGGGCCTCGACTCCCCGATCTTCGACATAAAGGCCCTCAGCACCGAGGGGAAACCAGAGGAGGTCACTTCCTCCCCTCAGACGGAAGAGCCCGAACCCACCACGGCGGCCGACGACAAGGCGAGCGACGACGGCATCCGAAACGACCCGCCAACCCACGACGAGGACACGCCTTCCTCCCAGGACGCGGCGACCGACCTCCCCCTCGGCGAGCTCTCGAAAGACCTCTTCGACGACAGCGGCATAGGGTTAGGATTAGGCGAGACCGAGGACGAGGACGCGCCCAAAGGAATCCCCATCCCTCCCGCCGACGAGCCGCCCGCGGTGCAGATACAGACGTGGGCGGAGCGGCAGGGGCAAAGGGGCCTCGAACTTCCCCGTCTTTACCTCCGTGGGCTGCCCGAGGAGAAGGGAGCCAAGGTTGACCTCAGTGTAGCCATGGAGGAGGAGAGCGAAAGTGAGGAAGAAGGTAAACAAAGAGGAATAAATTTGGTGTCTTCATAGGGGCGAAAATGAGTAAAAATTAAGCTTCATCTTACTCACGCTCTCATATGCTTATTTCTATTAACATCATGTGTTTATTCTTCGTCTTTTAAATAGATAAATATGAAATGAAGTCGCTGTTTCTATGTGAAAGTACTGTTCTTTTTCTGTTAAGGTTCATGTACATGTATGTGTATGTATGCAAATTCAGTCTCCGAATGGGTTTGTTTGTCTGTATATTACCATCATCGTCTGTATCATTGCAGAAAGAGTCACATTATATACTTATATGTTTATGCATGAATGTATGCATTCATGTCCATATATATTTTTATGTGGACACACAAATACACACACACGCAGGCAGCACACACACACACACACACACACACACACACAGCACACACACACACACACACACACACACACACACACACACACACACACACACACATCACACACACACACACAACACACACACACACACACACACACACATATATATATATATATATATATATATATATATATATATATATATATAATATATATAATATATATATATATATATGTGTGTGTGTGTGTGTGTGTGTGTGTGTGTGTGTTGTGTGTGTGTATGTATATACATTTTGTATTTATATATATATATATATATATATATATATAGATATAGATAGATAGATAGATATAGATATATGCATATATGTATGCATGCATGTGTATTTACAACTCTCCCGTGCTGGATTGATCACACAACAGAGAATGACTAATTCAATACTAGTTTTTGCGTGACGACAGGATGCTGATGCCCGGTCCCGTTCACCGATCAAATACAGGATGTCGTGTGTTTACAAGTAAAGGTCGAGGGGGGGGGAGGGGCGGGAGGAGGGGAGGGTCTGGTGAGGGAGGGCGGGGAGGAGGGAGGGGGGAGAGGGGAGTGGGGGGGGTCTGTGAGGAGGGAGGAGGGGAGGAGGGAGGGCGGGGAGGAGGGGGAGGGATATGGGGGGGTCTGGTGAGGGAGGAGACGGGAGGGATTGGATATGGGGGGAGGGGGAGGGTCTGGGGGATGCAAAGTGCTCTATTGTCCCGCCGTTGGACCAGTACTGTACCTGTCATTACTGTGCGATTCCGGGAGTATATATTAGCGAGATAAGATTATTATTTGTGATTATTATTAGTTTTTTGCGGTGGATAGACGGGGGATACGTGCATACATGTGCTTGCGTGTGTTAGTCGCCGAGCAGATAGACAGAATGCTCGTACGTGACCCGCCAGCCAGCAAGACCGGTCCTGGAGATAACATTTACAATACCTTCGCTTCTGACGCATTGTGTTGTTGGTGAGTGATGCCCGGCGGGACGTGTGCGTTGTTAAATGAATTCGCGATGAAGCATTCTGGGAAAAAAAAAAAAATAAACAACGTGGAATATTCTCCGTCAGACTTCTTTTTTTTCCCTCTTTTTCTTTTTTTTGATGCCATTGAGTTCGCTACCTAATCCGTGGTGTGATTCCCTTTCGCCTCTCCTAATCACCTGACGCCATGACGGATCGCGCAATTATCTGGATGATATTCGTGATAACAAATCCTTATCGTTCGTCACTGGTTTGATACGAAGTGGAAGCGTGAAGCGAGTGTGGATATCCGTGTAAACCGTGACACAGCGTCGACGAGAGAGAGAGAGAGAGAGGGAGAGGAAGAGAGAGGGAGATAGAGGGGGACACAGACAGGAGAGGGAGAGGCAGTTTTCCGGGTTTGTGAATGTGTGGAGGGAGGGAACACCTCTTCCCCTTTCAGTGCTGCGAGGACCCTGACCCGCTGATCTGCTGTTGCCGTGAGTCCTGCGGCAGAGACGTCCTGGGGCTGAAGGAGGCGGCGTTTAAAGGGCGTGGGTATGTGGCACGGATCCTGTTCGGGGGTTTCGTGCAGTGGTTGCTTTTCGGCGGTTTCGGTGGTTTATTTATTTATTTATTTGTTTATTTATTTATTTTATTTTTGTATTCGTGTTTTGGTAATGTTGGTAACTACGATTTTGTGTACGTGAATGAAGCTGTGTTGAGAAAGAGAAAAATGAAAGAAAAAGGCATAGATATACAGCCAGAAAGAACCAGACAGACAGACAACATACAGACAGACAGACAGACAGACAGACAGACAGACAGACAGACAGACAGACAATCACACACACACACACACACACACACACACACACACACACACACACACACACACACACACACACACACACACACACACACACACACAACACACACACACACAACCAAACAAACAAACACAAAACACCAAAAACAAACGAAAAATAGAAAAAAAATCCGCAAAACGCCATATAACGCGGCATGCAGTGGGCGTTGTACAGAGGAAGTGTTTTAGTAGAGGAATGGTAATTAGAGGAAGGATCTCTATTCAGGTGAAAAAAGAGAGAGGTACTCCGCCCACAGGTAAAGTGCACGTCCAGCAGAAACCTTATAACGAAGTGGCCGATACACGCGACTCACGTAAGAGAGATATTTCGAAGAGAGGAGAAAAAGAAGCGAGAAATAGAGGTATTTTGATAGAGAGATAGAGAGAAAAAGCGAGAGATATTTGGTTATTACGAGATATTTCACTGATGGTCTGATGCGGAAAATAAACATTGTATTTGCTATGACGTCAGCGAAGTACCGGGAGGACGTGGGGGGGGGGGGGGAGGGGCAGTTGACGGAGGGGGAGAGAGAGAGAGAGAAGAAAGAGAGAGGTAGAGAAGAGAGAGAGGAGATAGGAGAGAGAGAGAGAGAGAGAGAGAGAGAGAGAGAGAGAGAGAGAGAGAGAGAGAGAGAGAGAGAGAGAGAGAGAGAGAGGATAAAGAGGGGGAGGAGCGTAATATAGGGAGAAAGTGGGGAGGGGGAAAGAGGGGAGAGGAGGGAGGGAGGGACCGAACATAATAGCTCTGTGGTGAGAGATAGGGGAGTGATGTGGCCATAGACTTGGTTTCCCTTTGTGTGTTTTACCGAAATATGTGAATGACTCGACAGGGGGAGAGAGGGGGAGGGGGGAGGGAGTGGAAGTGGGGAAAGGGAGAGGGCGAGGGAGAGGAGGAAGAGGAGGGAGAGGGAAAGTGAGAAAGAAAGAAAGAGACCGAGGGAATGAAAGAGAAAAAGAGAGATAAAGAAAGAGAGAAAGAGAAAGTGAGAGAAATAAAGAAAAAAAGAAGAAAAATAAGAGAAAGAGAGAAAAAGAGAAAAAAAGTGAGAGAAAAAAAGAAATAAGAGAGAGAAAAAAATACCCATTCAAAAATCTCTTCCGCTTCGTTCAGATCCTCCAGGACACGTCATCTCCGCACCCTTTTATTAACACTATTTTTTCTGTCTAACACAATTACTTGCTGATAACAACCGCGATAAGAGTGATAAGAAGTTGCGCCAGTGACGACAGATGTCAGGGAAGATAACATCTGCAGATTCCATGATGTCAGTTTGTCAGATTTGTTGATGTCAGATTAACCAGAACGAGAGAAAATGGAAATGTGTTTTTCTTTCTTATTTTATTCTTTCTCTTGTCATTATTATTAATATTAGTTTTATTTTATTAT